CAGAATGGAGCAATATACCATAGTGGAGGTCGGGAGTTGGGGAATGTATTGTTGCTGATTTATCGCGAACCGCAGTCAACGTAGCCATTGTCTGCGTTTTTGGCACTGTTAACCCGATTTTCCACTTTTCATGCGACAACGATGTGCACTGGGAGAAGAGGGGGGTGTTTACTGGAATTTATATAATTTAAAATAAAATTTTTGTTTAGTTTATAGCAGAATTTATTAGGTTATTTTTTAAGCAAAGTAAGGATAAAGTAAATAGATAATGTTTTTAGTAAAAATGCATTTCAAAATAGGTTAAAAAGCATATAAATTATAAGAATTACATTATATTTTATAGAAAAATTATATATTTAATTTAAAAATATATTTATTCAAATTTTTAATATTTTAACAATGGATTTTCGAATTTAAAAAATGGGTTTACACTTTGTTTTTTGTAAGAAACTTTTACTTAAGTCGTAAAGATATTTAATACTGATGAACTATATGTTTACATTTGTGTACTTTTTAATTAAATAAATTAGGAAAACATCATAATAAATATTTTATAATATTTTTATATTTTTAAACAACAAATTCCTTCACCTTCCAGTCTCCTTTTCCATTCCCAGTGCAAGTTAGAATGTCGCAGGATGGGAGACTCGCTCGGTTTGGATGCTTCAGAGTCTGGTGGTTGGTGCGGTGCAAGGCGATGATTATGTTTACGTTGCGCCACCGCGCTAGGAGATGCCGCTAATGTGGAGCACGTCCCGGCCAAGTCACGTCACCTAGGCGACGCGGGCAAATCCGGGGATTCTATGGAGGCCAAGACAATGACAGCAGAACGCATCGGGAAACGAGATCACGTCTGGGGACCGTGCGAGATTTCTTGCAATTTCATATGGCTTGCTATCGAGGAACTATCTTTCAATTAAATTCCAATGCAGAAGGACTGCTCCTCTTTTACCTACTCTTTGTGCTCCACCTCCTCCTGCTCCTCCTCCCGCTCCCCTTTTTCCAATCAAACCCGGAAAACTAATTTCCCCCTGGGGAAAACACTCGCTTTGTTTAAACTTTGGCAATAATAACTGCTGAAATATTGCAGAGCAGAAGAGCTGGGCACCTTAATTTGATTACAAAATTGCCAAGCATCATGAGCTGGGAAATATTTTCATTGCATTTTTGCGCTTGTCGCGTATCATTTTAAGCTCTTTTACATAAATTTTCCCCGCCATAAACAAATATTTTGCCGGTTTTTGGGGATGATGATGCTGCTGCCAGCTTTGTCGCAGTTTTCAACTTCATTTAATTTAATTTATTTTTCAGCAGTTCGGCGCTGGGGGGAAATTTATGTAGCAACTTTTTGGCTGCCGTTGTTATTTGAAACTAATTTGCATAAAACGAACGTCAAGTGTTTTCGCTTACCTGACACACATATGTATGTATTGTCCTGCTGCGAGGGGGGTCCTTTTGAGCAACAGGATCGGTCAACTTGCCATAAATTGCCCCTTGATGACTCTCTTTTCTAAAAGGGCACAAAGCCCAGAGACTGCGAATCGCAATTCGATTTCATTTTTATGGCGCATAAATTATTCAGAGTTTGTCTATAGTCTATAAAATGTTGAGCTTCGTTGAGCCAGCACTAAACAGGACATCATTCTGACCTAGCAAGGACCAACGACTGACCTTGTATCCTAACCCATCCTATCCTATCCCTTTTCTCTCTGTTTTTTTTTCTAAATAGACAATTTGCCCATCTTTACGCACTATTGTTTTGTATTCTCGGGGCGATGCTTTCCCTCGTTTCTTTTCTTTTGGCTGGCATAAAAATCAGTTTAGTCCTGCGACAGCGCCTCGATTTATGCCCGAGTCCTTTGTGTATCCCTATTTCTTCTTGTTGCTTTCTTGTGCTTGTGTTTTTTGTGTGCTGCCAACATTTTTACGACTAAATCGAGAGAGAGCCACAAAACGTTACGGCAAATCACTTTTCAGCTTCAACTTTTTCCTCCAAGCTCCAAGAACATGTATGGGCATCGTTTAAAAACAATTGGAGCTTAAAGCGACCATCGACTACAATGTTGTTGATTGTCTTTAAGGAGTCGCACAATGAATAGTAAAATCCTAAGCATGTGGTGTGAGAGAAAAGAATCCTTCTTCTTGGATAAATTCAATTTCATTTCCATTGGTTTTTAATCCATTTAAGATGCTCTCTCTCACTGACGACTTATTGAAACTGCAGCCTCATTGTTTGCCCTCCGAGCATTGCACAAAAACAAATAGCAATGATATTGCACTTTTCGGTATTATTTGCCAAAAAGCAAAAAAGGATAAACAAGTCGGAGAAAGAAAAGTGATTGAGTGGCTCCAATTAGTAGTTGCTTTCTAAACTGAAGAATTTTTATCATAAGCAGTGAGATTTTGAGGGAGAAAAATACATAATAGCATAAAATAATAATACAAACTCGAGTTAATTGGAGATTTAGAAACGTTGAACTAGATTTTGGCACAATATTTAGTTTAGTAAACAAAGGATTTATTATTAAAATAAATATTTTGGCCACAAAAACTGCACTTTAATACAACAAAATGTATTGAAACTCAAGAAGTTAACACATAAAATTCCAAATTCTTCTTTTCAATTTAAAAAACAACCAATTTAATATCAAAAATTTCAGCAAACGATGGACAGGCAGCATTAGTACCATAATGTATGAATAAATAAAATTTAATTTTACATAAAAACTGACAACAGTCCCCAGTTAGTTGTATGCCAGACAAAATGGAGGACCAAAAGCAAGGATAAATTCCCGGGGAAAGTAAGTAGAAGGACACTTGGCAGGCTGGCAGGGAAAGAAAACAGTTTTGTTTGTTTGCCTGCTCGTCGTGTGGCATATTTGAGCGTATTTGCACAAAATACGTGAAATTACGCGAAAAGTTTAGTCTGCCAACTGTCCTTCGTCCTTGGGCCTTCGTCTCCCAAACACCTCTCCCCCAAATAAAAGTGAGAAAGAAAAGTTGACTGGAACTAAGTGCCTGCGAAAAAAGATGACTGGGGTTGCTTTGCATTTAATTTCGATGTCAAACGATGGCTTAATCTCCAGGGGACCACCGGGCGTATGCGCAATATTTTCATGCAAACTTGTCCTTTGTTTAATCTTCGGCCTCGCAAGCATTGAGTGTTTCCCTTTGTCATTTTACTTTATAAGCGAATTATTAATGAGCTCCTTGCCATATAAGTTAATAATCCGCTGAGCGTTAAAAACACAAAAAACAGGCACGAACACTTTATGCCCGAGTCGAAGCGGAAATCTCATTTGTCATGCTGCTGCCTGGCCATTTATCAGTTGGCATTTAAAAAGCCATTAAAACCGAATCCGGCACAAGAGAAATTGAAAAAAATAAAAGTAAAAAAAAGAACTGTATGCAAAAAAGGAATCCTGCCATCAACGAACCTTGAAGTCGAGTTCTGCGAGCCGGCGAACCTGTTCCAGTTCCAATTCGATTCATAATTTAAAACCCGGCCAGCCGACCGAGTCAGACCAATAAATTAATATAAAAATTCCTCACGCCCAGCCAATAAGTGAACATTGAAGCGTTTTATCGCCCCGGCCAGACTCTCGCAGGATAACTGCCAGGAGACATGGACAGGACGAGCCCACGCAGCAACGGCGGTGGTGGAGGTGGAGGCGACTTCTTGAGATCGTGAGATGTCTAAGATGCCGACACACTCGAGCCGTTTGCTTTGGACTTGGAAATTGGAACTTGGAACTACGGGAAAGAGGAACCTGGGAACGCAGTAGCAGGACCTGACTCCTTCGGGGCCATTGTCGGCCACTTGGCCAGACATTTGTGGTATGCGCAAATAGAACATGGCATAAAACGGTCGAGGAAGGACGCCCATACAAAACCATTAAACATTTATGGCCACGCGGAGGTGGTCGAGGCTCGAGGAAAGCCTAGGATCCTTTGGTTATTTCATTGTCTGGAAATAAATGTAACAAGTCAAATAGCTACGCATACCAATTGCCAGAGCTATGGCTATGGCTATGGCTTTGGCTTTGGTAAATTGTTAACCGACTTCATTTGAATTTAACCATGGTCCTTCGAAGTTTGTTTTGCTTTTTAGAGTTTGATTCAAGGAAGAGATTCTTGACTTGGCAAGCAAGAATAGTCAAGGATGCTAGGGTTTCGTTTGGTTTTATTTATTTCTTTAGCTTCTTCTTTTATTCAATATTTAAAATATCCGTTCAATATCCTCAACCTTTTTGTAATTAAAAACAAAACTTAAATCGTTTAGCCGCAGACACTTAAATCTGTGGACCCTTCCCCCTTTCTACGTTAAAAAGTCAAGGAAGTTTTTAGCATATGACCGGGAAAAAGTGCACAAAGTCCGGAGAGGTAACCTGCTGCGGTAACCGGCAACTTTGTTAATGGTTTTGTCATAAATTTTAATTCGATTGCATCAGAGCAGACGCCGGGGCTGCCATTCAAACTGGGCATGAAAAATGCATTAGTCGGTGCAGTTTCCAGGACTTCAGGACGACGAGGAGCCAGAGGCAAAAGTTTTTGATGGTGCGGTTGCCCACGGAGACTGGCTCCACACACACACACATACAAGGCAAACCGCAGACACAGTCTGTTGTTTGAAGACTCAATTAATTTATGCAGTGTGAAGTAAAGTTTTCGGCCTTAAAATTGCATTTAAGAGAAACGAAAGGAAAGGAACGAAATAAAGGAGCTGAGCTGCCCTCAATTACAGTGCAGGAAATGCGCTCAATTAATGAATTTTAAATGCATTCTCATTGTCACTTCCGCACAGGCAGGCCTCAGCCTGGTCTTGGTTCTGGTCCTGGCACACGCTGCGTATGCGTAACGCGTTATTTGCCAGTCAACCGCCAAGTCAGTCGTCAAGGCGGGGGCCCAGGACGTGGTAATCCGCGGCTGATGAAGGATAAAGGACACTGCGGCACCATTATCTCCGCCGTTGAGGCCTTCAGCCACACGAACAGTGGAACTGGAACTCGAGGTGTACTTTATTTCAGTGGAAAAAAATGTTGAAACATAAATTTATGGTTAATTTTCTGAACTACTACTTCTTTTTATCCTTTTCAGCTTTGGACTTGGCTTTCTTGTCATCTTTGGCCTTCTTAGTCTTGTCTTCCTTCTTGCCTTTATCTTTCTTTTCTTTAACTTCCTTCTTGTCTTTAACTCCACTCTTGGACTTGGCCTCCTTTTCTGGCTCCTCTACCTTCTCATCGTCTTTTATTTCCTTGTCTTTGTACTCGGGTCTTTAGTTAATGATTTAATTAATCAATTAAAAAGTCTTAACAAACTTGAAAACTTACAAATCGTATATGGAAATGGGATCAATATCCAGATCAGGCAATTTGAATTTGGGAAATGCTAGAAGATCGACTCCTTCGCCACCACCATAGCGCAGGGCCAGCTTCTCGATGGACTCCTTTAGTTCCTCCTCGTATTCCGGGGTAGGATCTACGGGCTTGCCCGTGGGACTCTTCAGGCGGTATTCACGCACCTTATCCAGAAAGGTCTGGTAAACGGGATCCTTGGAAATTCCCGGTGCCTTGTCACAGAAACCACGACGCCAGATGCGACTGGATTTAAGGATTCGAGGTAACATTTTCTATTGGGGTGTTGGGGGAACTCTCGATTTGTTTGATTTTCAAAGAGTGTTTTATCTATGGGTACTAGCTACTTATTTATTATGAATTTATTTCATATTTATAAACCTAAGAAATGTATGGTTAATTCTAGGATTTTTAAAGACATAAATTATTAATTTTAACAGGTAAATTCCCTTCTATTCTTTTAAAAAATATCCCTATTTCCTTTTAACCAAATTATAATCAAAGTTAAACCACTGTGGCCCATGGAAAGGTAAATGCGTGCAGTCCCTGTAAAAGCCAGGAGGCGCCCACATTAACTACAAGGATAATGTCGCCCCGGCTTCAGTCCACCCGCTGGCTGCGGCATGAAAAAATAACAAGAAAATGCCTGGCATCGTTCATTACGATGCCTGATGCCTGGGCTTCAGCCCTTTAGCCAGGTGCGTGGCCAGGACGGGAAAGGACGAGAAGCAGCAGCAGCAGCAGCAGGATGACGAAGAGCAGGCGCAGGACCAGCGGAGACGAGCGACAAGACAAGACATCCGAAATGTTTTATTGTTGTAACTGTCGCCCGGCGGCATAATATATAGTCTGGGACATATCCTGGAGCGCGATATCCTTCGCCGCTGACACAAATCACATGCAACCTTTGGCGCCCCTTTTGGCTCCAGGACTCCAGGACTCCAGAGCTCCATGAATGAAATGGGACGAGTGCTGGGGATTTTTCGGTGGTGGTCGTACGTGTCCTGCCTGTGGACTTGCGGCATGCTCCTCCAAATTATGTAAGCTTAAAGGGCGGTGAGTGTCCTGAGTGTCCTTTGTCTGCGTTTGTCGTCTTCCGTTTTAGCAAATGTTTTGTTAGTCACTCCTCTCTTCCTCTTGAGGAGCTTGCAAAAATCATGCGGAAACGGAAGCGACAGAAGGAAAACCACAATTTGAGGGTGTCCTGTATCCTGGGCGAGTGTGTATGTGTGTGTGGCACGTGTCTCATATGGCTATATATCCACCTGACCACTTTGTCATCGGCTTGAATTAGGACTATTCAATTTTCATTATTAAATAATGCCTCGGCATTGATGCGGACGTGCCCGGGTGCCTGCCGAAAATTAAATGCACATCGGAATTTATGAGCCTCCGAGACCGAATGACAAATAGTGCGTGTCCTTTGCCAGGGCTACCCATTACCCACCTCCTTCAAGATGAAACTGTAATTAAATTTGTCCAAATTCAGTTGCACATCCTGGCCCATAAATCTAAGCCTAATCTATGCCAGCGCCAACATGAAATCCAGAATACGCCGCCTCCCAAAAACTGAACTCCTTGCGTTGCAGCGATAAATCAAAACCAAATTCACATAATTTTTATCGTTTTGCACAATTTTGCATATAAACATTCGAGTTCGAGTGTGTGTGTGTGAGTGTGTGGAGTTGGCTCGATTCGGTTTTTCCAGTTAAACGTTTCAATAAAGTCGAGCACCTGTCAATAAATCGAAATTGCCTCTCGTATTATTTTTATCGGCTACGTTTCGTTTACATTGCACAAGATGCTTCACTTTCAGCATTGCCAGCGGCCACGCCTTACACATGGAGACGTTATATATCCAAGAAAGCACTGAGAAAAATATCTTTTAAAATTTGAAAATGTAATAAGAATTTAAAGTCCCACAAAACCAGCTTTAAAAATATTTTTAAAGGTTAAAAACTCAGGTAAGATTATTATTTTACCCAATAATCAATTCTTACTCTTTGAATTTCTATTTCTCCCAGTGTAACTCTTAGCTCTAGCCCACAGACATATGTCTGTATATACATATGTACATATATCCAAGTGAAGAAAAAGCGGAAAGGCGACCTTAGCTATCTCTCACCGCCTCGCCATCGTCCTCGTCATCGCCATCATCTTCTTCCAGTTGAGCGGGTCCTGCGGGTCTCCTCCCCCTCCTCCTCCATACCTCCTGCAATCTCTCCTGTGGTTTCCAGTTCTCTGCTTTGCCAGGTCTTGTGCCCTTCTCAGCTTTGTCTCAGCACACTTGTCGTCTTATTTCTTTGTGGATGGATGGATGGTCGAGTTCCGTTTTAATTCAGTTTTCGGCAATCGAATTGTGGACAGTTTTCATGGCTTTAATTACAGTCAGAGGGATCTTTCTGGTCTTTGAAGTTCCGCCTTTAATTTTAATCCACTTGCGCTTAAAAGCGACCGACTTTTACCAAGTACCAAGTATTTTTACGAGCTTCGCCTGCCTTATGAAAATTTAATAAGCCCGGGAATGAGGCAGGCGCTCCTGCTCTGGGCTCCTCTGAAGAAAACGCATAATGAGAGTGGCAGCCAAAAAAAAAAATACAGAAAATCGGGACATGCCAGGGCATTCGTTCTCTGCCTTTCATCCAAGATTCCCAGCTCAGAATCCGACTCCTTGGACACCCACTACCCCTGTCCCCCTGAAACCCATCCACATATGTCATGTAAAAAGATTGTTTAACAAGCAGAGAGTACAAGAGGGGGGTGGCAAGGGGGTTGACAAAGGTGGGTGGAGAGGGGGACGAAAGCTTAAAAATGAAATGCGTTTCTCGTTTTCACATGGCTGCCATCGGATAGGTCACAGTGGGGTCAAAAAGTCATAATTATAATTAATGAGCCTTCGGTGTAAAAGGAATTTCAAAGTGATTAAGGCTCTGTGTAAACTACTTAATTTTCTTTAATATTAATTGTAATTTCTACTTTAATTTATTAATAAAAAATATTCAGTTCCTTGCTAAATTAGTGAAAAATATTTTCTATAATTTCCTTTGTCTTTTGGAGTATTTAAAAATATTAAAAATGACAAAAATCCTTCTCAAACTATATTTTAGGAGTTTTTTTTTAATCCACGTTATTAAAAATATATTTAAAAATATTTACTATAATATTAATGAGGTTTTTGAGTATTTAAAAATATTTAAAATGGTTTCAAGGCAAAAATCCTTTTTCAAACTATATTTCAGGATTTTTTTTTTAATCCACGTTATTAAAAATATATTAACAAATATTTTCTATAATATTTATTAGTTTTGTAAGTATTTAAAAATATTAAAAATGGTTTCAAAGCAAAGATCCTTCTTCAAACCATATTTCAGGTGATCCTTTTTCAATCCCCTTCAATAATAATAAATCCCAAGCTTTCAGAAAACTTTTAAAAATAATTCTAAAAAAGCTTTATCCACCAATAAAAAATCCTTAAAAAATAATCCATCAATTTTTCAGCCCACTGTCTCCTCCTGTATCGTCCTTGTGCGAGACGTTGCTCTCTCTCTGGTTGGTGCCGAGCCAACAAACAAGCGAAATATTATTTACGAGCTGTCAAATCCCAGTTAACATGCCTTATACAAGGACCAAGGACGCGTCTTCAATGCGTACGTACGTATCTGTGTGCGTGCCTGTACACACGTATTTGTTTGCTGCGGTCGCATAGTTCGCTAAGAGACAGCTGAAGATGCGCCGCCACAGTTACAGATACAGATACAGATTAACAGGCACAGATACAGGAAACACTGAGAGAAAATATAAAATATATATAAATGGGTTATTACCCACTGGCTTAACAAAGGAAATTATTACAGAAAAAATATAAATTTTTAAGGCCAAATATTGGTCCAAAAACTTTATAGTAAAATCTTCTCATTTTTTAAAAATTTCTACATTCTTTCAGTGTACAGATACCGCCGCACTTTGAAGATACTCTTGGCGGCTCGACGCTGCACAAATAAAAAAAAGAAAAAAGTGTGCCAGTCCGTCTCGCCGTAGTCAAATGCCGGATCCTTGGATCCTTGAATCCTGGCATCCTTGTTTCCTTGCAACGGACTCGAGCATAATAAAATAAAAAGCATAAATGAAAGCGAGGCCGGGGCCACGAAAATAATTTAAATTTATGTACTTGTGCGCGTATTTATTTGTGCGTTTGGCTTTTATTTCCTTCTCGTCTCTTGATTTGTTTTTGCCTCGCTCGCACTCCCGCTCTCTGGTCTGTCTGCTGTTCCCCGCCCGCTTTCCCGCTTTCCCGCAGCAGAAAGCATTAAATTCAATTTGCTTATGTGAGTATCTGTGTGTGCCTGCCACTCAGCGTCAGTTACAGCCAGGAGGAGCAGGGGGGAGGAGGCTAAGGCGGAGGAGGTTGGGGGCAAGGCCATGCCAATGCCGGCGACCTGTTGTGTTGTTTAAGGAATTACTTAACATGGTAAAAGCCTGACTGTGTGTGTGTGTGTGTCCTGATTATGCATGTATGTGCTTAATAAATATTTCGGTGAGTCCTTTTTTTGATTATTCCCTGGAAAAGTCACACAAATGGGTAGCAAAGAGAAAAAGGAAGCCAGAAAATTAATATAGAATCCATAAATTCCCCGAAAGTTGTTTATTTGTTAACAAAAATTAAGAATTAAATTGAAATAAATTAACTAAGTAACCTGACGTAAAATATACTATTTATTTATTATTTTTTACAACTTTTAAATTTTTTTTTTTTGATAAGATAAATAAATTATATCAATTAAAAAATATGTTGAAAGTGTTTTCATATATTTCCCATTTCAAAAAAATTGTTAAATATCTTTTAAAATAAAAATAGTAATAAAAAAATTCAAACCTAAACAAAAAACAATTATGTAAGTTGAAAGAAGTGTCTTTAAAATAATTCAAGATCAAAAAGCTCTTGAAAATACTCCAGAAAAATATATATAATTCAGGTACTCCAAAGGTTTATCATTCGCTAAATTTCAGCTATCACTTCACCAGCTTTTCTTTCTCTCATCACAAATTTTTCACGCACTGTTGCTGCCCCATTGTTGAACCGAAAAAGCGTGTAAGATGTGATTGTGTGCCACTGACAATTCATGTCTGTGTGTCATGACAAGTTTTTCTCAAAAAGCGAGACAAGTGGAAATCCGTTAAAGAAATATATAAAGAAGATGCTGCTGCTGCTGCTGCACATATAAATATTCCCGTGTGTGTTTGGTGTGGACAAAGAAATGTCGTCGGCAGCAAATAAAAATTAATTGAAAAATGTTTATCAAGGACTTTGGCTGGTGAAAAATT